CTAGTGAATCAAATCACACGATTCAATTTCTCATATTGAATCGACTCCTACGATTCGTTCATTTGAACGAACCACATGCATAATTTACGTTTCATAAAAACAAGAATCGTAACTGGCACTACCGGCAATAATTTGGTAGGACAATTACTTAAGGGACCAGAAAAATAAATATACAGTTCTTTCATTTGTTTTTCAACACTTTACGACACTGGCGTAATTGGATTGATTATTTTACCAATATATTAAATTATCAATCCATTTCATATATATACTATTTATTAAAGACTTAATACCAAGTTAATATTTTTAGAGCCATATTTTAATTACGATTTAGTAATCATAATAAATAGTATATATAGCAATACAGCATGATCGAAAAAAAATGGCGTCCAGTTGGCTTGGAAATGAACATCGATGACATTCCCCATATACTTTTACATATAAAATGACAGCGATCTTGATTTTATAACCATCGCTGACGCCGTTTCTTTATCATATTGAGCAGAGGCCAATAATATTTATTTGGAGTTGTATAAAAACGCGATTTCGTCTTTTAGTCCGACATTTAATAGTTTATAGTCGGTAAATATTACAGTTGAGGGTTGGAACCTTTGGTGTTACACAGCAAAATAAAAACACTAAATCACCACAATACACCAAAACACTTTTACTTTTACACTGGACGCGCGTTTCGCTAACCATGTTAGCATCATCAGCAGATGATTATAAACTAAAGTACAATCTACAAGTTGAGCGTTTATATACTCGCCCAGTGGGCACCGAGTGGGCGTGGCAAAAACTAGCCAACCGAGTCAGAGCCAAATGAGTGTAACAGTTAGATTTCCGCCACTAGAGTAGTAGGAACAAAGAACTTGAAGGAATTGGACCGTTGTCTCTGTTCATACTATCTTTACATTTATTAATTCTGATGCTTTCATATGCATCTAATTGCCTGTAATTTGAGACTTGTTTTATTAATTTTAAATTATTAAGATCTATACAATGTTCTTTATCAACAATATGTTCGGCAACGCAAGATTTATCCGGTCTACCATATCTTATCTGAGCTAAATGTTCTTTAAATCTAGTTAATATTGACCTTCTAGTTTGCCGAACATATTTCTGATTACAATCTTTACAAGAAATTTCATAAATGCCCGACCTTTCCAGTGGAGGTGTAGGGATAAGACAAGGATAAATATAATAATAAAGGATAAAACACCTCCACTGGACGAACTATGAACGAACCGTACTGCAAGCAATGAACCGAATCTCACGATTCATTTTTAATACTCGTTCAGTTGAACGACTCGTTCAATCTTTGCCTTGTGTATAAAGAATGTCCCACTAGCCAGAGAAAATTTCGACAGTCGACACCAAACAATGACAATAAATACAATTTATCTGAACACTAAACAAGTGACAACTACTGCCACTCTCGTGTATCTTCTGACTGGACAGACCTTACCAGCTGTTTTAACTATTTAAACTAATACGTATTTTAGAAAACTTTTTTAATTATTCGACAATCTTAAGACTAATTCCTCCTAATATTAATAAATCTAAAAAGACTTAAACAATATTAAAACACTGCATTGCACACCATATCCGCGGTCGTAAATATCAAACCAAAAAAGGAAAAATAAAATGGAGAACGGAGCAATCGTGAATTATTGAAGCAGTTGGGAATTTAATTGCTTGATCGAATTTAACGCTGGCCGGTCTGAAATCCAATCGTACTTAAAAATTACTTCCGGAAAATTAGTAATTTGTCTTAGATCACTGTCGTGTTTTATTAATCTCAAAATAATCTAAAATGTAATTGTTTTAATAATCTACTCTTTATCAGGTCATTAAAAAAATACAGAAACCGACAGCAATGGTTAAAATTAAAAATAGATTGTATTCCTTTTATTGACGTTTAAGGTCTAAATAACGTTTATGGTAATAAAAAAAATTGTGCATGCACTATGTGCGCGTATTTGAAGTGAAACTTCTTACTAACAGCTACTAAATTAAAGCATTTGAAGGATATGAGGGCACGATAGTGCCCCCGCCATGTCTGGTACAGCCCAACCATCATTTTCTCAAAGGTATTAGCGGCATTTTTGACCACCCTGTAACTTCGATGTGGATACAGCAAGAATATTAATTTTCACTACACATGAAGACATACTATAGCTGGCTAGGTTACCAAAATATCTAATAATTATACCTGATACTGTATGAATTATCGCTTGTCAAATTTCTTTAATTTCGACATTGACTCACTGACGGATCATCAAAATTCTAAGGTACTTCTACCCAAGTAGCATTTGGACGTTATCTAACGTCTATTATACGTCCGGTTCAATAAACCCGACGTCGGGCACCAACGTCGGTTCGACCGCCTGACGACCCTTATTTGCACCTAAATGGGGAATACAGATTCTGGTCGGTAAGTCTGACCTAATAGGGAATGTAATTCTACCAATTACCAACGTCATATTACGTTGGATTTTAGTTACTTAAAATTCGTCGCTAAGCACTTACGTTACGTTTGGTTTCATATTCGCTACCAAGAATACATAAAAACCTAACCAAACTACCTAATTACAAATGGATTCATAATTACTCCTCGAATATAACTATAAGTGCCTATCTAATTTTATATTATAATAATTCTGAATCATTAATCCAGACATCAGTTTTGTCAATGGAAGTCACTTTCTTGATATATCTGATTAAAATACTCCGGAAAACAACAAGCGCCTTCAAAATTAGGTAGATTTATGAAATAAAAATATCTATAAAAAAGTAACTCGCAAAATATTTTTTTTATTTTCTAGCTGGTTTAATCATAAAACTGTACTGTCGTTTCCCCCAAACTGAACCTTATCAATATTATTCTACTAGAAATCGAAATGTTAATATAAATTTTAAAAACAAAAAACGATTTTAAAATTGCTGACAATCGGATACGTGTTAAGAATGGCGGATTTCTGTGTCCGACTTAATATGAACTACCAATATACCAATTCCGACCGGGTCTCCAACATTAGTCGTCTCACACGACCGAAGTCATCAAACCGGACGACCGGCAATCGTATTATGACGTATATAATTCCAACGTACGCCACGTAACCTCACTTTGCGTATCAGTGATTTGTGGATTTGTGCAACTATATTTTAGTTTTTGTTTTCTCCTTAAAAAAAAATGGGCAGCTACTTTTTTTAAGCCTAACCTCACATGTCGGAGGGGGATGGGGTCTGCTGGTTTCCTAAGCTAAAAAATGAAATTAAGATGCAGCAGCATCTCTTCCGGATAAAAAGCATTTACGGGTGGAGACAAGACATCACTACTACTATTATTATTTTGCAAAAGCCTCGACCTCTTTCTGTAAAATGTAGATGAATGTCTAAATACTAATATTTTATATACTATAAAATAAATATAATAGTTTTTTTAGACATAATAAAAAAATTAAGTTTGTTTACAAAACTTTTTATTAGGTTATGTTCCTGATGTTCATTAGGTCGCAAATGCTACTTATGGGTTGTATTTACGGACGTAAATAGCGATACGTAAATTAGGTTATAAATATGAACATAAAATACAACAAAATATAATTGGACGTTACTTTAGGGATTATCAGTGAGACGTATCCTATTCGGACAACGGGTAGACGTCGGGCTAGTTCAAGTATATGTACGTCGTGCAAGCCAACGTGGGAACGACGTTGGGAAATTAATAAAAATGGTACGTTGTTATTTTGCACGTCGACAGATCGTTGGATTTACCGACTCGGATCCAACGACGTCGCTTTTAATAGGAAAGCGACGTCACAGGTCGTATCACCAGCACCCGACATAAATTTGCACAAAGTCTGACGTCGCTTCAGGTCGCTTTAGTTCGAAGTCAGATAGATGCTACTTGGGTAGATGTGTAACAAACTTCAAATTTCGAATTTTAGGTAGCTTTAAGCTTATAATGAAAGGAAAAATAAAAAATCTCGAAATATCCTTATGGATTAAAAGTTAGCTGTCTAGCCGCTACCGATAACTGACTTTCCAGTCGAGAAAAAGGTATAAAACTAGAATTAATCGAAGCGGTCTCTTCTGATTTTATTTGTATATCAATATACCAACCATAATTCATGGACTATGAATTTTTTCTATAGCCACTTCTTTAACTTCGCCAGTGACTTCGCCGTCATCAAAATTCTAAGGTATTTCTAGAATTTCTAGATGTGTGAACTTCAAATTTCGAATTTTAGGTAGCTTTAAGCTTATAATGGAAGGAAAAAATGAAAAATCTCGAAATAACCTTATGAATTAAAAATTAGCTGTCTAGCTGCTACCGGTAACTGATTTTCCAGTCAAGAAAAAGGTAGAAAACTAGAATTAATCGAAGCGGTCTCTTCTCATTTTATTTGTGTATCAATATACCAACCATAATTCATGGACTTTGCATTTTTTCTAGTCAAACTTCTTTAGCTTCGCCAGTGACTCACTCGCCGTCATTAAAATTCTAAGGTATATCCAGAATTTCTAGATGTGTGAACTTCAAATTTCGAGTTTTAGGTAGCTTTAAGCTTATAATGGAAAGTAAAAAATAAAGTTAGCTGTCTAGCCGCTACCGGTAACAGACTTTCCGGCGATGGTTATAGGAGGACCGGTGATAGGATTGTACGAAATGATATTGCACGATATGATATTCTATTCTAATTAAAAAACTTTATTTTTAAGGGCATTGTTTAAATTTACTTAGTAATTGAGATGGTACTCTATCGAGTTCACTACACACAACAAACTATTAAAAATCGCTAAAATTGTGGCTGGTGACACCTCCGATACAAAAAATGATATCTAACAACACAAATTCTGCATCAGCCCATATATGACGTTACGTGTCCTTGTATTCTTTAGTCATTGATTTTTGTAGTTCTTAGTTATTTTAATAGATATTCAGTGTGTATAAATATGTAAGTTTTATTAAAATATTTACCATTTACACTTACCCTTCTGACACTTCTGTCTTTACTCGACCCCCTACTTTGACCGTACCGCGATCTGGAGTACTCCAGAGGTGGCGACACCGATCTCCCATGTCGGTCCATCCAGGAACATGTCTGCCTCATCTGCCAAGGAGCTCCGCCGCATGCTGCACCGGGTAAATTGGGCGATCGAACTGTCATACTTAGCTTTCGACAAGATTTCAACATCTAGAAATAAAAATATTTGTCAGATAAAGCTTACTATTTTACTATTTTTTTTAATGGATCTCATTTTGTACAAAAAAATTAAATTAAAAAGTTTAATTAAAGTCTAAGTTAAATTAAGTTAGGGACTAGACCAGAGATCATTTTCTTACAATACAAAGCTGTCAATACATAAGGTAACCCAGCGTTCTGGAAAAGGTCATATCAAACCTATTTTTCATCGTAATACTTTCCATGATTTCTTTCAAAATCAAATTTTCCGTACTTATCCATTTTATCAGCTGTTTTAAAATAAGTAAATTTCTTTAATACCAAGTAACTCCTTTTTAACGTATATACAATTAGAACAGTTATGTTGTGTGGAAGAGAATTCTGCACCAAACTCAAATTTTACGTCAATACTGACAATGTTTCCACCAATAAATACAACCCAAGTAGCAAAATTACGTTGTTCAACGTCATCACAACGTCGCCAGGAGCAACCCGACGTTGCCGGACAACGTCGAAGCGACGTCTAAGCGTCCCATATTTGCACCAAAATGGTGGATGTTTTTAGGGTCGCTACAACGTCGCCAACGTTGGCGACATTGTTTGAGGCGACGTAGTAGGTCGTGTACTAAAAGGTGTTTTTCATGCCCATTCGCGATATTTTGAGGTTAGAGTTAAAAATATTAGTCATCAAACATTACTATATTCAACCATGGGGAAACCAAAACATTGATTTCGATTAACTTGGTGATGACTGATGTATGAATTAGAAATGGAATATATTATGCTCCATTAAGAAATAACTATGTAAATTTAACTTGGACAAATGTGCATAGTTTTGAGTTGTCGGCAATCGGAATTCATCAACGAAGATTAGTTTACTGTTGAAAGTGACCATGATACTTCGAAATATGGCAAAACCCCTTTTTTATTTCCTAGTTTTAATTTTAAAATTATAGTTTACTTGGTTAACCTAACTTTTTTTTTAACTTTGAGACAAATATACGAAATTTATCAGGAAAATTGACTTACAACCCTAACAGATACAGTTTTTTTTAACGAAATTCGCGGTATTTTGTGGTTTCTAATATTTTATTCGATTTGTCCACAACGCACGAAAAGGTAAATCGTATTAAAATGGCGGAGTTGCAAGGTACTCGCACACTTGTACACTTTTGTGGCGCAAGTTCTTCTGGCGCCATTATAAAATTGCTGGATATGTTCACACGGGTGGCAAAATTGAGCCAAAAATTGCAAAAATAAATGAATTGCGCAACTTAAATATGTCAAGACATTTTTTAGAGTTGCAGGGCTACTCACACATAATTGCCACTTTTTATGGCGAAACTCTATTAAAAAGTTGCTCTACACTTTGAATAATTTTTTGGTGTCTACGTGACATTTTATATTGCTTTTTTTTAATGTCACAGTGGTGCATTATATTTTGATAATGTATTCTGATGAACAAATAAAAGCTGCTGCCGTCTTAAGTCTTATATCGCTGCGAAGACGACAAAATAGAAGACGCAGTTATCGTAAAAAAAGGACAATTTGGGTTCGAAAATGAATTCAGAATCGTTTTTTTTTCATTTTAGAACGTTCTGAAAACTTTTTCATTTTAGAACGTTCGTTCGTGTGCTGTGTTCGTAAACTTTGTATTTTCTTTTTAACTTCCTCAGAGGAAATTTTTAATTCAGAAGCAATGTTACATACTACCATCTCTCTTATTAATATGTCTTTAAAGTCAGCTAATGTCACATTCCATAAGCACTGATTATCTTCTATTAAACTTTAATTTTTAAATTAAATATAAAGCGTCCTCCGACTTCCACTTGCCTTTATTGTAACTTGATATAATTCTTAATATTATTATTAAAATCTACTTCGACTCAATGAAAAACTTCTAACCTCAAACAACAAACAACACATTAAAGTTGCACAAGTAGTAATATTGCGACACATCATTTAACCAACATGTCGGTGCATTTATATGTTGCGCAATATTATTTCTTTTGACTGTTCACACATTGCAATTTCTGAAGTGTAAGCAAGATGAAAAAATATAGTAGAGTTTTGGTTGTTGCGCAATTTTTAAAGTTGCAACAATAGTCTCTCTTTTAAATTTAGGAATGGCGACATTTTTCAGATTGCGCAATACAAAAAGTGTACAAGTGTACGAGTACCTTAAGGCAACCTTTAAAATACCAATATAGTGCATAAAGTGCGGTAACCGACCTTTGGGTCACCTATCTCAACCTTTGGTTCAAAAATTGACACCTGCTTTGACGAAATAGAACCTCTGAACCCTACCGACATCTAGGAGGTAAATAAGAAAATTCCTTCTTACAGTGCTTTTTTTACCTAGGAACAATAAAATAAAGAAGAAAGCTGGGTTACTCTAACAGAAAGCTTTGGTGGTGGTGGTCACATACTCGTTAATAAGATCGCTGACATTAGATCAGTATTTCTATTTATTTATTGTTAAAAAAGCCATATATAAATTTTATACAAACAGTTGTTGGTGTTTGAAGAATTGTTCGTGCATCAATCGACAGCTCTTTTATACCATAAGATGATAATCCTTTTAAAAGCTGGTTTACAGCTGAATGAGATATATTATTTTGTACACTACACTGACTTAAAAATGTTTTTACTTTTGTCGCAAGGACGTCAGGATGAACTTCAGTTGACTGCTCTTCTGGAGGATCATTATTCTCATAGTATTCCTCTGTTATATGGGATTCAGGTGTACTGTTATTTATTTCTATAGTATCCATTATATAGTAGCACTATTACTGTTCAAAATTGAAGTGGACATTCCTTCGATACATGATTGCGAGGATGTGGATGACGAACCTAAACTCGTTATTTCCACTTCATTTTTCGGACACTGACTTGTTCGCTGACTTTCTTTTAAATACTTTTTCCTTTTTCTATAAAAAGTTGTAGAGTATTTATATACCTTTTTCCTATACATCTTTTCGCTTTACACAGTAAGTACCACAAAAAAATACCTAACCAATTACACTGTGACAGTACAGTACAGAATTTTTTGAGGTTAGGTGTAGACAGTTCCGCTTCCACAACAAAAATCGATATCGTCGCGCTCGTCGCCGTAATCCAACGTAGTAATTGGTCATAAATTTGAAGTTGCTTTGAGTCGTTTAATGAAACGTTGTATTACGTTGTAGTTAGTATGTACTTACACTCGTAATTTAAAAGTACGTTGCACAACGTTGTACTACGTTTGTTATTCTGTAGTACAATAAATATGCCTTCTGGCTACGTAATGACAACGGTATAAAACCCAACTTCTAACAACGTTGAGTTCTACAACGTTTACCAACGTTATTAAGGGTCAAAATATACAACTGTTTAAGTGCAACATCGTAGCGACGTTTTGGCTACGTAATTTGAGGTTTGGGTATGCATAGGGTAGGGAAAAGTAGCAATTTCAACGTTGCGCGTAGTCAAAACTAGTCGAAAGTCGGAATTTTGTTACTTGGGAATACTATCCAAAAAAATATAAAAGTTTCAATTAGTTAAAAACAGAGGTATAAAATGAAACATTGTACGTCATTCGTCCGCAACATAACAACGCACACCAACATAACATCTCATTCACACTGCAAAAGTTGATTTACCTCACTTTATAACGTAATAATATCTAAAAATATAACTCTAAAATCTTTGATACTAACCCACGATTTTCCTTGTAAAACGTAATGCTGTTTGAATCATTTTAACGGCATATTACTTTTCCATCCCTATTGATTTTGTATTCTATCTCAAAAGGGCTGGAACGTTATTAGGGAACAATCTCTTGTGTATTTCGTTTACGCCTTATTTCGTGCTTTGACTTCTCGTACATTTCAAGCATATCTGAACTTTCTTACTCAAAACTACTTTGTTCCGTAGAAGCTGGAATCTGTTCAAAGAGTAGCGTAATAATACCCTTTTGTAACCACGGATAAGAAAGTTTTTAACAAGCCAACTTTGAAAAGATGGCTTGAATGCTAAATTTATTATATAAAACATATTATTAATTTCGAAGTTATTAAACTCTTAATTAAAGAACATTGATTAGTAAGTGTTTAATTAATATTATAAGATGAGCTATAAATCATGCTATACCGGGTGTCTCAATACGAGGTTCCAATGAGATACTTCACCTTATATGGGGAGCAAGAATAGTAGGTATATTCTTTCATTAGGAGTTTCATTTTTTCAAACGCATGGGCATTATGCCTTGTAAATAATTATAGTATATCGAGCAACAGTAAGTGCAGTGTGCGTGCTCTGACAACATTAGGTGACCGTAGAAATGTTACTTTAACTTGGGTACTAGGGCACGTAGGTTTGACAAAATTGCAGATGAAATGGTCAAACAAAACTCATCAATACTATTGATAGATCTAGAACTCTTCCGCGGCGTTGCAAAATCAGTCACTAGAATGGCCAAAAAACGGGGGGCCAACAAATATCGATCTACTAACAAGGCATTGTAAACTTAATAGACTAATGGGATTGGCAGAAAAATTCATGCGCAGACTTTTTCAATCTGATGAAAAGAAACGACAGAACATACTTTATGTCTGTGCGACAGCCTTGCAAACATGCGGTTCTTTTTATTTTCTCAGAAAAGTTGCTTTACTTTTGTCCGATAGTGTATAATATACAGGGTTCAGTTTCCAATTTTTGAAAACTAGACTTTTTGAAAAGAATAAGACTGGAGAATGTAACCTAAAGATCAGAAGAGGACCACAATAGATCTGAGAAGGTCGCAGTGGTATAGGCCGATAATCATCTCTAAGAATCTAATCAATTCAACACTGCCAGCAGTCAATTTTTGGAAAATAATATATTTGTATACTTTTGTGCTCAGGGGTAAATGTGTTTTACTTTTATGCCTTTATGTTGTTAATCACGTCGGAAAAGTTAGTGCCTCTATAACGTTTAAAAATTATATATACAGGGTGAGTTTCCTACGATGTTCTCTATGGGTATCTCGGAAA